GTGTCTAACATCAACCAAGCCAATAAACAGCCGTCCAGTGCTTCCAGGTTTCCAACGGTGATGTAACATCAATCGATTCATGATCTCGATCAAAAAAACTTAATAATCCCCACATCATCTATACAAATGTATATACTGTTTACAAAATTTAGTAGCTATGATAACAAGTCATTATTACTGTATATTTTGATCATTTTGACAATAGAATTATTTCACAAGTTGAAATCATGATAATAATAATCACCTGCTCACTAGTGACTGACTTCAGGAGACACTTCTGGAGTTCTAGTGAGAAGTCGTTACCAGTGGAGTTCAACCAGGTCTGTTGTGAGATAGGAACTCACTGAGGACAATGGTGTACGGTAGCGCAACTTCGTGGATTGGTTGAAGTTAGACATTAACACCGTTGGATGCCGGCTCAGTGGTCTAATGGTTAAGTGCTCGCGCGCGAAGCCAGTAGGTCCTGGGTTCGAGCCCCGGGTGGTGCGGGGTCGTGGATGCGCACTGCTGAGGAGTCCCATACTAGGATGAAACGGCCGTCCAGTGCTTCCAGGTTTTCAATGGTGGTCTAGCTTCAACTGACTCATGATTTCAACTTGTGAAATTTCTAAAATCTCCACAAAAACCCATTCTGATAATAATAGAATTATTATTAGTTTTCATTGTTTAAATCAAGCAATCTAGAAATGAAGTTTTGTAATATGGTTAATATTACGATAAATGTGTCATTATTTAAAGTTTACTTTTATTCTATTATTGTTAGTTGAACTAATTGTTTTCACCAAAGATTATATACATACACTTCCATTTTGTTATGTATGATCGTACCATCCTTTGATTTACTTATATGTACTTGTTGCTAACAATGTTCTGCCACAAACTTTTTATCAGTAAATTATTAATGTTTTATCACATATTGAAATGAAAATCATATTCCGAATGGAACAGCTACTACTAATTACATATTATCGTTAAATTATTACTATACATAGACTAGAAATAATTTAGTAAAATAGGTAAATTCCAAGTTTAACAATATTACATAGAACATAAAAATAAAGATAAATATACCTCCGAATCATCAAGAGTAGTTCCAAGATGATTTATTTTAGTTAAATTGATTTTACCTATTTTTATATGATGACCAATAAATGAAACCCCGAAATACTTGACGTAACCACAAACATCATTAACGTATCTTGGTGCTAATAATTCAATATGAACATTGTGGTTACCAGGCGGGAATATAATCTTCGCAGTAATTGACCATGCTTGACCATGACAAACATTCTCTGTAGGTTTGATGTCCTCTCGGGTTAATTCAAGTTCAATAGGTTGTAATCCGACAAATGACTTTAATAAATTTAACAGTAAGTAATATATACATAAATAAAATGTAAAAATAAATAATTCTATATTCAAAGAATTTCATTAAAAAAAAACGTTAACTGACATATCTGTTGTATGTAATGGTATAACTCACCGAAATTGAATTCTAAACGACATACAGGTTAGATTATTTTATGTTACGAAAACATAAGGCAATATGAAAACAGGTAAACTTCACTGACTTACACGTGTAACTATCTTTAATTTTGGAATTTGTTTTTCATCGTTTTCAGGGACGCGGTTTTGTTTATCATAACCAGTTTTGTTGTTATGGTTTCCGTTTACGTATTCATCTTTCCATGAGATAATTACCAATGCACTGTCTGAAAACTCATCATGATCAATATTTTTTACAGTGACACTTAGTAATAGTGTTCCATCATTTTGTTTTTGCCATAGTGATTGACTTGCACGTAGTACACCCGTACTGCTGTCTAGATATATTGGTAATCCAAAAGAGTCATTTCCCAAAGTGAATTTAAGTTTTCTGCATAATATGAAAGGATTCATCGATTTAACTAGTGTCAACTGACCAATAATTTCTTCAGAAGTAAGTGGTATCATCTTTTTAAGTTGAAATTTGAACGTATTTGTTAAGAATTTCGGGATATCTATAGTTTACAATGTAAATAAATTTTTTTCATTGTAGAAAAAGTTACCGATTTCGACTGTTTTATTATATTTACTACTTATTAGTAAAAATAAAACATACATTTTTCAGATAAGTTATTGTAGTCACCAGTAAGTAAGATAATACATGTTTGTTGTCAGACAATATACGTGTATACTATCTCAGTAATATGAATTTAAACCGAAATGTCATTTGAGAACTATTTTTTTAAGCAGATGATAACTATTATGTAATTAAACCGTCTTCACTTTTCGAAAGTAACACTCCATTATGTCAACAACTTACATTTTACACCAGGACGAGCTTTTTCCCAACTTTGAGTAGACTAGGGTTTGTAAATTCATTTCAAATAAATAATAGATTAAAAAGTAATTCATTAATTTAATACAAAAGAGTTACATAATAAAAGATAGAAATTCTGTAAAACAATATAAGATGTTAGAAAGTGTATGATGCAATTACTCATAGAACACCTTTTATATCCTAGGATTTTCCCAAATATATTGTGTTAAATATTCATTACTAGTATAGTTATATATATCTATATATAGTATTTTAAAATGGCTAGATGACTGAAAACATTTCATTGAATAGACTCATTGAATGACACTTTTTTATAGTTTATGTTGAAGATAACCATAAACATTTCAAAACAATAAATTAATTATTATCAGGATCAATGAACAATTTTAACAAAATCACATGTTTGTCAGAAGATGTTCTTTCACTGTAATAAAGCTTTATTGGGGAACGAGTATTTTTCAAAGTACAACTATTATATTAAAAAATCTTACCTGTCTCTAGATTATCACAGTTCTGTGTATAACATTGATCATGTAAGCACTCACTATAATAAATGAAATTTCATATAATTTGTCATTAAATGAAATTATTTTAATAAAAATCAAGATCACTTATTATATAACGTATATGTAAGTCTTTAACATGATGAATACAAGTAAATATAGAGTTTATCTTCATTACATATTTTACAGTTAGCATGTATATTACTGAATACAATAGTGAAAAATTAGTCACTACAAATATTAACAAATGAGACTTACTCATTCTTAACTTTAATTTATCCTTAAAGTTCTTTTGATCTATTGTAGTAGAAATCTTTCATAGTAAATCACAAATAACAATCATATTTGTGAGGATCGGACAGACTCATTATCATACTATAACCATCTCATCAATTACGGTAGATTTGACATAACACTATTTTATTTAACCTGTTCTAGTCACAAAGTAGGCCACGTAAAATCTGAAGTTACATCAGTCAGTAAAAATTATTATTCTTGTCATCCTTAGATTAGCCATTTAGGGAAATCATTTTTGTCATTCTCAGATACAGACTGATTCTGTTTATTAGTATAAGACTAGCATTAAAATATTAAACATAATTTAATAGTTGAATTCATGTGTCAATTAAAGCTAGACCACTATGGAAAACCTGGAAGCACTGGACAGCTGTTTCATTCTAGTATGGCATTCTTCCATAGTGCGCACAATGGTGGCGTCATTTCGTGAATTGGTTAGAGTTGGACAATAATACTTTTGGATGCCGGCTCAATGGTCTAGAAGTTAATCGTTCACGCTAGAGACCGATCGATCCTGGATTCGAATCTCGCGGGTGAGATCGTGTATGCGCTCCGCCGAGGAGTCCCATACTAGGACGAAAAGGCCCTCAAGTGCTTTCAGATTTTCCATGGTAGTCCAACTTTAATTGACTCATGACTATTAAATTACTAAAATCTTCACAAATCTTCCTTCTGATATTAAACATAAATGGAATACATTTTATTGTAAATACTTTTCAGTGTATTAGATAACAACGGTTAATGTATACCTATAACATTTAAAACAAGCAATAGTACAAAAAACTCAATTTTTATGAGACAATCTTATAATAATAAAACAATGTTACTAAATGTCATTTAAACTAGTTATAATTTATACAATAATATCTCTTCGAAAAACTCTATAGTTGTCCAGTGTTTTTTGAAAATGCAGAATAAATCAAACACCCAAAAAAAGTTTTTTTTATATCTTACCTTAACAACTTCATAAGTAGATTAATATTTGTATCTATGGATTATTACTTACTTATCAGTTGGATAATAGTTTTCCGATGTTATATCTAAAGCCTTTATCAATGAATCTTGAAAATTATTTTTTTAAATGAATAAAATTGTAGTATATACCTTTATTTATTAGTAGTATAAATAGTAGTAATAATAAATTGCGAACTATATAAGCATCTTTAGGCATAATTTAAATTTTATTTTTAAGATATGCCAACAGCTTTTATACTTGACATAACAAGTAAATATAGTAATCAATCAATGGTATATATTAATATCATCAAATGTTTGTGTGTTATTTATTTGAAATAAAATTAACCTACCTGTTTAAATATGAAGATTCATTCACGTTTACATAAATAATACCATGGTGATGTATTGTATTCAAACAGTATAAGTAATATGTGAATTCAAAGTAAGTATTTATTTACATTCTAAACAAAAGAGACTACTAAACCAACAAGAAACAGTTTGTCTCATCATCATCAAGTTTACATGGATCAAATGTAAACATTTTTTATTAATTTATGATTGATAACTAACCGTTCCTACCATTGGATACAATAAAGTATAAGCTATGTGAATTTGTAATTTGTTATTATTCACTTGAACTATTCTTCTGAAATATGTATTGTTGTTATTAGTACCATTCTACTTTTATTTAAAATGCCTATTTAAATTTGGTTATATATATTATCTACTCTAAATGTTATTAGATATAATAAAAATAAATAGGAATGAATATTAAATAACTTATTATTTAGTTAATAGAGATTGATAGTATTCTTTTCATAAATGTTTCGGGTATTTTATATGTTAAATGTATTTTGAGGTGAAGTAAACATAATAGTTTCAAATTGATAATAATATCATTTTGGTTTCTTTGTGATGTATGGTACTTATGTTGACATAAAAATAAGTAGTATATAACATAAATCAGAAGTGGAATATGTGGCAGGAGAAGATTGAAAAGATTAAGTTGTAGAGAACAAGGATATAAACAGATAGTAATTGTAATACCAACAAAAAATACAGAACGATGAAGTTTATAAATGACAGTTGATGGAGGATTTACAAATGAAGTATTTAATGTATGATTTGCATAGCTTACATAGACATTCTGTAATTTCGTATTAAACGATTCCTTAGTCTTCCAACCTGTGTTCGTTAACTACATCTATACAGACGGTTTTCATTTTTTGAGCAAGTGAAACCATATATAATCGATTCTGTTCGCTTTATCTATTTAGAAAAAAACCCTTGAGGCTATTATTTAAAGTATGATTATCACATAGTGGTCTTCCCATTCTGATCCAAGATTTTCGTGAGAGAATCGTTACATCAGATGCAGTGTCTATTTGCAATCTAAGAGGGTGCCCATTAATGCTAAGGGTAATAAATTTCCTCTCAACTGGGGTTGAGTTCTCACAGCTTGCTATTAGACTCAACGAATTCGTGTTGGATCTAGGTGTAGGTTTTCTGGTACCTCTGGAGTTGCTCGGCTTCTTTTTTCGACAAAAACCATCTTTATGACCCACCACATTACATTTCCTGCACCGATGTTGCTTATATGGACAGTATCGAACAAAATGCCATGCACCGCAGTGCCAGCATGGAGCAGGAGGATTTGTTTTTGTCTGTCGACCTGAACTAGATGTCGCTGGGGCAGATTTATGCGAGTTGAGTGGTTGCTGGACTACATGAACTTCGGTACGATTTGAACCACCACGCTGGACCATTGTAGTATCACGCTGTAGATTGATTAGACGTTGATATTCATTTGCAATATCATTAAGAGTTAGTTTTGGGTCTTGGTCCAATCGACTTAGCAACCGTGTTCTAATGTCACTGAACTTCTGCGATTGAAGGCTGCAGATGAGAATGAGTGCTTTAAATTGATCTTCAGTAAGCGACTTCAACCGGAAGCGTTCACATTCTCGGTTGACAATACCCACATGTGTGAGAAAATCATCATCTTCGTTCATAGTGAGCTTCAAACATCGATAGCGTGCATTGAATAGTGAGGAGTTGTCTCCGAATTGTTGGCTCAATGACTGGACAGTGTCGGAGAATGAACGATCGCGTGGGTTTAAAGGCAGAATTAGATTGCAATACTTGTCTAGTTCACTAGGACCCAACTTTCGAAGCAGCAAGCGGACCTTCCAAGCATCATCCTGGTTGGCAAAGTCAAATTTGAATAAGTCTTCGTAACGTCGAAACCACATATCAAACGTGACATTGGATTCTGGATCGTAATGAAACTCGGAGATACTGTTAGCAATACCATCAACTGATGGTGCAGTAGTAGTAGGATTAGAACTGCTTGGATGAGAATTAGACGTAAGCTTTGCATCTGCTAACATTTGAATAAGTTTCATCTGCTGCTCGAGTAATAATTCAAGTTTAGATGGATCCATATTTCCGAAGCTCACGAGTTCACTTAGACTGCGAACGAGAACAATACTCAGTGACCAAAGACCAGTAATCTAACTATTGACGCGTCCCAGCCCCGCTATCTAGAAGGAGAAGTCCAGGCTTGGTATGGAAAATATATTCTGCATACAACCAGAAACGAGCGAGCAAGCAAGCAAGCAGCAGCGAACAGTAGCGAACAAGTCAAGTCAAACACACAACTCACGCGTATTTATACAATATTTACAATCGATATTGTCATAGGAAAATTGTAAACACTAATCAATGAGTTCATAAATTGACCTATTGCACATTAATCGATAGTTCATCAATTGACCTACTTGCACATCCAATTGATAGGTTCATCAACTGACTGCTATACAAACATTTAATCGATCAGTTCATCAAATGACCCCAATACAAATATTTAAACATTTAATCAATAAGTTGATCGATACAATAAAATTTTAAAAATATGAATTTTGGGAATATACCGTCCCAACACTCCTCCCCTTTTTAATAGCGTGCTTTTCTGGGGTCGACTTGCATTTTGACTGTAGTTCGCCGCTGACGGAGAGGCCACCTTCTGGGACGGGGATCAGCTTGCTGTCGAGCTTCTTGTGATGGGGCTGCAGGTAAGTTGAAAGTATCAAGCAAGATGTCGAGGGGAAGATTTACTCCATTTGATGGGTGGTCTGGGGCAATCCGCTTACGTAGTTGGTTTCGGTGTCTAGTCCACGTGTCTCTTCCCACCTTTACCTCGTACATAACTTGACCTAGTCTTCCAACCACACGTGCTTCGATCCAAGGACCATGATTTGCTCTGTAGTCTCGAGCGAACACAGGGCATCCAACCTCGTACGCTGGAAGCTTCTGAGATTTGGTATGGGATGGTGGTGGTGTGGTTCTTGGGCACATGAGACTGTGGATCGTCCTCAATTTCCTTCCCATCAGGATCTCTGCAGGGGACTTCTGCTGTGGTAGCATATCACTAGGTGTTGTTCGGTAAACAAACAAGAAATTCTGCAGTGTTTCTACTGTCGTCCCCTCCCCTTTCGACTTCATTAGAGCTCTCTTGAATGTATCTACAAATCTTTCTGCTTGTCCATTTGACTGTGGGTGATAAGGTGGAGAGCGGAAATGCTTGATCGATAGGCGTTTGCAAAATTCTTGAAATTGACTTGAGGTGAATTGCGAACCATTATCGGAAACGATTATATCCGGTAACCCGTTGCGAGAGAACATCTCTGTCAAAAGTTGTATCGTTTGAGTTGTCGTTGGTGGCACGACGGGAACGATTTCTGGCCATTTCGAAAAGGCGTCAACAACGACTAGATAGGTAATTCCATTAATTGGGCCTGCGAAATCGACATGTATCCTGGACCAGGGATACTCAGGCTGTGGCCATGGGACCGGCAGTAATTTCGCGTTACACTTGGCTGCTTGCTGACACTGTGCGCGGTCCTCTGTCAATGGGGAGGCAATAACTGCATCTTCGCCGGCCGTATGATGTTCGCTGGTCGAAAACTCCGTCATTAGGTTCCTCGTATATGCTTCCAAGTCATGTGGTTGTTGTCGAAGTTGGGGTTGTGATACCAGGTTGCATATGGTATTCAACGGAACATCAGCTAAATTTAAGTGATCGAACCAATCTAACCCAAGCAAATTTAGATCAGCTGGTGTTATGTAGCATACCCCAACAAATGCCAAATCACGGAAAGTAACTGTACATTCCATTTGTCCAAGCAGGTGAAGGTAATTACCACACGCAGTACGAGGCTTTTGCGTTGTACGCTGCAAGTTTGGGCTGCCCATTTTAGTCCACGTTTTACGAGAGAGGATAGTGACATCTGATGCTGTATCTATTTGCAATCTCGATGAATGCCCATTAATATTAAGGGTAATAAATTTCCTCTCAACTGGGGTTGAGTTCTCACAGCTTGCTATTAGACTCAACGAATTCGTGTTGGATCTAGGCGTAGGTTTTCTGGTACCTCTGGAGTTGCTCGGCTTCTTTTTTCGACAAAAACCATCTTTATGACCCACCACATTACATTTCCTGCACCGATGTTGCTTATATGGACAGTATCGAACAAAATGCCATGCACCGCAGTGCCAGCATGGAGCAGGAGGATTTGTTTTTGTCTGTCGACCTGAACTAGATGTAGCTGGGGCAGATTTATGCGAGTTAAGTGGTTGTTGGACTACATGAACTTCGGTACGATTTGAACCACCACGCTGGACCATTGTAGTATCACGCTGTAGATTGATTAGACGTTGATATTCATTTGCAATATCATTAAGAGTTAGTTTTGGGTCTTGGTCCAATCGACTTAGCAACCGTGTTCTAATGTCACTGAACTTCTGCGATTGAAGGCTGCAGATGAGAATGAGTGCTTTAAATTGATCTTCAGTAAGCGACTTCAATCGGAAACGTTCACATTCTCGGTTGACAATACCCACATGTGTGAGAAAATCATCATCTTCGTTCATAGTGAGCTTCAAACATCGATAGCGCGCATTGAATAGTGAGGAGTTGTCTCCGAATTGTTGGCTCAATGTCTGGACAGTGTCGGAGAATGAACGATCGCGTGGGTTTAAAGGCAGAATTAGATTGCAATACTTGTCTAGTTCACTAGGACCCAACTTTCGAAGCAGCAAGCGGACCTTCCAAGCATCATCCTGGTTGACAAAGTCAAATTTGAATAAGTCTTCGTAACGTCGAAACCACATATCAAACGTGACATTGGATTCTGGATCGTAATGAAACTCGGAGATACTGTTAGCAATACCATCAACTGACGGTGCAGTAGTAATAGGATTAGAACTGCTTGGTTGAGAATTAGATGTAAGCTTTGCATCTGCTAACATTTGAATAAGTTTCATCTGCTGCTCGAGTAATAATTCAAGTTTAGATGGATCCATATTTCCGAAATCACCGTCGCCAAATTGTTAGGTTTGAAGCTCACGAGTTCACTTAGACTGCGAACGAGAACAATACTCAGTGACCAAAGACCAGTAATCTAACTATTGACGCGTCCCAGCCCCGCTATCTAGAAGGAGAAGTCCAGGCTTGGTATGGAAAATATATTCTGCATACAACCAGAAACGAGCGAGCAAGCAAGCAAGCAGCAGCGAACAGTAGCGAACAAGTCAAGTCAAACACACAACTCACGCGTATTTATACAATATTTACAATCGATATTGTCATAGGAAAATTGTAAACACTAATCAATGAGTTCATAAATTGACCTATTGCACATTAATCGATAGTTCATCAATTGACCTACTTGCACATCCAATTGATAGGTTCATCAACTGACTGCTATACAAACATTTAATCGATCAGTTCATCAAATGACCCCAATACAAATATTTAAACATTTAATCAATAAGTTGATCGATACAATAAAATTTTAAAAATATGAATTTTGGGAATATACCGTCCCAACAGATAAGTTCAATAAATTATATTGGTTTATAAGTAGTAGGTGATTTGGATCTCGTCTTTAGTTATGTGAATCACTTTATGTCAGATAGATCTTTTCAGTCGGTATATAACATTGTGGTAATGATTCATCATATATTTTTATTTTATATTTAACGGGATGTTTTAAAATTGTTGTTCTGTTTGGTTATTTTCATCGTCATTTGAATTAAGTTATTATATAATCATTTCAACGCAGCTAGGACGATTTTGTGTAACAATTGATCATTTCGTTCTTGTTGATTTAAATGATGTTATCTTTGTGAATAAAATTAGGGTTAAATGATGTTTGCATTAGCAGGTCAGCTTACTAAAAAATATTGTAATTTATCTCAGTAACGTTACATCACTAATCTTTGCTGAATCAAGTTACTTTGTGATTACTTTACCTAAAGAAATGTACGGGTGATGACAGCGATATTTACTGCGGTTTTTAACTTTAGTTGGTTTAAATTTAGTGATTGCCATCATAAACAATTTTCGGATTTCATTATTATGACAAAATAAATATGATACTCTACATGACAACATTAATTACTGTAGGAAATTTTGCCTCAGTTTTCCAAATTTACTAGACATATCTCACTGTTTCTTTTTAGTATGTTTTAAGAGGATTAAAGATAAATAAATTTGGAAGATCAAATTTTAGAAGTAACTTACGGGTACGATAAACCAATAAGTCAAAGCTTCTTAATACATAGGAAAAAAATACCTACGCTTAGCAAATGAACTTATCGAATGTGATGTTTCCGAAGTTAATGTATTGAAATGCAAATGTTTCTAGAAAATAATCACTTATTGTGCTAATCGTTTTAAATAAGTGATTGAAGAGTAAAACTTGTAAAATTTAGGCTAAAATAAGGTTTTATTTACATTTATGAACTTTTAGAGGGAGACATGTTTTTTCATTCTTCATTTAATTTACATTTTAGAAGCCATTACGAATTCAGACGAAACTATTGCTCGACTCCTTATTTAGAAATAACTGTCAGAATGTCATGTAATAAAGTGGTAATTACAGGGATGTCACATCCACATAATATTCAGGTGACCATGTATTTATCATTTAAAAAATAGATTACCATTTTGAATCCCATTTTTATACAGAATTAACAGACTCTATGACTACTATGAAATCATATTGTCAATCAATCTATTCAAGGGTAATTAATAAAAGAGAAAAAAACTATTGTAATGATGAGGAATGTGTACTAATTTCTTTTTATTGATTTAACTAAATACGAACACAAAAAGATACATCATCTATTAAACTGAAACAACTGCACAAAAAGCGAATGAGGAAACTTTTGTGAATAATAAACACACATCACTGAAAAATGCCCATTATATTAAAACACAATTGTATAAACGAAGAATATTCTTTTCAATAATTTATCTAATATAAAGTGTTAACTTGAATAAGTTTATAAGCGAAATGAAATTGTGCGATAAATGATCAGAATAAACATGATCAACATGGGGTGCGAGAGAAAATAATGGAGAAAAATCGGAAATTACGCAATATGTAGAATAATATGAATTACGTCAGATATAGTAGATTTAGGGGTGGATATTGAATAAATTCCTCAAACGGTTATCGAGTATAAAGATAATGATAACAATAATAATAATAGTAATAATAATAATAATAAGTTTGGGACATAAAATGAACATTAATCAGATTATGTCACCATATTATAAAATTAATTATTAACTAGTTGGCCCCAAAGTTGGCCAGGGTGAAATACACATCAAACATATTATAGGTTTAGATTTTCTCTAAAACATCATACTAACAAATATCCTTTAGTGTTTTTCACATAATATTTGACTAGTGCTTATTTTTCAGTACACTAATATTCAAACAAGTTACAAAAAGTAGATATTTAATTTGTAATGTATTTATTCTTAGATGTATGAATAATGAACCTGCGTACTACTGCTCTAGATTAAATTAATTTTATGCCACAATGCAAGCATTCACATTTCCTAATCGTAATAACAAAAAGTAATAATAAAACAAAGGAATGTAGAGTGAAAATTGAATGTTTTCCGTCAGCTGTTATACGTTTTCACAATAAATAGAAATAAGTAAACAACCCAGCAAAAACATCTGTTTATAGAAGTACAACCAAATGATTGTTTATTATTTCTTGTTATGTTTAAAAAGGGAAGCTAAACTGGTTGTCAATAGCAATATATATATTCATCATATATGTGTATAGTATTAAGGAATAAATAGACATACACAGATATTATACTAATAATAACTACTACGGAATTCGGTTTTCAGCAAAAATATACACCTGTATATTTGTTGAAATTTAGAAAACATTATTAGTGTTATATCCAAACCAAGAATAAATGAACGGAAACTGCTAGGATCTGTTTATGGACTGTTGTGATGTATATATATATTCTTATCGTATAAGTCTGGCTGACTTAAATAAAAACCAAGTATATTTGAAATAAATGATCCATATAGTGGAAGCTGTGTTCTGGACTCAACAGGCAAGACTAGATGAGAAGGAAGAATAAGGACTTTTGGCTGCCAGTTTTGGTCAATACGTCATTGATTTGGCAAATTACTAGGATTGTATTTGTCGTATCCCGATTGGCGATCTCGTCACGTGATAATTAACCGAGCGAAAGTCGCAACAAATAATATTCAAGAACAATTAGTTGGCGATAAGAGATTTTTCCTGCTGCTCTTTGGAGTTAAGCTGTTATTAACTTGATTTATTTCTAATATAAGCTGAGGGTAATTTATTGAATGTCACCTTAGAGGAAATTTGTAATCATCGGCCAGGACGAATTAACTATACCCAACTATGTTGGTAATTATAGGCATGTTAATTCCAGAAGTTCTGCATTGAGGAGTAGATGCATTTCATAGATAACTACCAAAGGTAATCAATCATATTGGTTAAATATGACGGTTTTTTGATATTCAAACAGATATTTCGTAAGCATTGTGTTCCCGCCTAAAGTACTATATTTATTTTAATTTGTTATTATATCCAGTCGTATTCTAAGCATCAATATGTGCAATTTTGTTCCTTAGAATAAGCTGGAAGTAATTCACTAACCATAACATATTTATTAACAAACAGCGCATGTGGTTCAGTAGAATGAATCAATGTTTCTGAGGCTTATTTACAGGCGTTATTTAAAGCATCTCAGCTGGATGATTTAAACATGAAAAATTCATTGTCTTTCTGAACACCACCATCAGTACATGTTTTGAAAAGAAGTGAAATTGTATCACAACTTGTCGTGTAGTCTTCGATTTTCATTTAACGCTGCCATAAGTGTTGCTATCATTGCATATTTATCTTGATTGTTTTCTCCTCAGGATTGATCTTCGGCTCTACAGTTAGTTATTTATCGCTTTATTTATTAACTTACAGATGAACGCTTCGAGTTCAGGGCTTTTAGAAAAGTATCTGGTTTTCTTTGTTTCCTCTTTCTAACATTTTGGCCGATTCCCAGTTAAATTCATTTCAAAGGTTGTCAGTATGCACTAATGTTATTTGACTTATTTAAATCCGTTATTGACTAACGCGATTTAAATCAATGATTATATACTAGGATAGGCTATATATACATTTCGACATCAATCATTTATACGATCTAATTGGAGTCAGATCTCGGGCTACTAAAGTGGCGATCCCTTTTAACAACATCGTCCGATCTAAATGACGACAAAATAAAGGGTCTTACTAAAAATAGCTGTAAGCTTACTTCTACATAAAGCACGTGCTGATGATGTCCAAAACGACAATCAAATCTCCGCAACTAAATTATCTAGCCCCAAGGATCCAATATCACCGAAATTTATATTCAGAAGTTTGTTCACATAGCTGTAGTTACTCTTTCATCTGTAGATATACAGTTTGTTGATAAAGTGTTATACTATTATATCCGTGTCAACAGAGTAGAGGTTTGGCACCTTGAGTTCAGAATATTGTTGATTTAATGTTAATTTTATGTTCTCAATCTTTTAAGCAAATCAGATGTGATTTCGAAATCACTCTTAACATAGGCTGAATAGCAGGACAAGTACAAGTGCAGCCTTACTTTTGCTGGAAAACTGGTCTACCTAATCCAGTTAAAGTTGCTCACTATCTGTCAACCATTCGGTTTGTGATGAGTAACTGTAAGTAGATATTAGCTGAAACTACTATTGATCCGAAACTCAACAGATGAAGCTTTTTATACCGTCTACATTCGCTTTATATTTATTTGTGCTAGTTTTGAGTTAGTGGCTTGTATTATTAGATACATCAGACCATACATCGAATAATTTTAGGATTTCAACAAAAAATAAAGTGGTCTGGAGGAAAAATGAATGGCTCTGAAAAAGTTTCTTTAACTAAAAATTAACTTCTATATGGGAAAGTCTAATGATTAACAATAAACTAGCTGTTTAATTTTTTTCGGGAACTATCAAACTTGAATTCCTCAATTAACTAAAAGCACATAATTTGGCTGTTTCAAGTATTAGAAATGAAACGTTTTACCAGTTAACATATATATTCGTCAATGTTCTAACGACATGTTCGATACTAAATTGCCTACTTCATTTTGTCAGATATAAGT